TTTGAAAATATCACTATGATCACGACTTGTCGTTATTCAGTTATTATTGATCATCACTCAGATCAGCTCCAACATTTGTCACGGCACATAAGTATTATCTCCTCATTTCCAGTCCATCAGATTGACTTGACCAATGGCAACAAAATTGCTTCCAATGATGCTTTCCAGTACCAATATGTTAGTTCATTTAGTTTCACATAAGAAGATTTGTCAATCTTCGTTGTCCTCACCAGGTTTGCAGAAGGCACAATTCATGACCTTAGGCTCTATGTGAAAACGGGCAGGGAAACCCATTAACACTTTGATTCTGTGTGAAACTCGACAACCAAATGTCTTGAGGAGAGAGAGAGAGAGAGAGAGAGAGAGAGAGAGAGAGAGAGAAAGAGAGAGAGAGAGAGAGAGAGAGAGAGAGAGAGAGAGAGAGAGAGATGACTTGATGAAAGTGGCGTAAAGTTGATCCGTAGCTTTGGACCCGAGCTTTACACTGACTAACCCAAGCCTCTAGTTCCTTTTATCCTTACAGATGGTTTTTACTGGATGACTTGGTTGATTTGGCCAAGAGGTATATCTCTCCTGTAGTGATTGACTACGAGGCAGTGACTGAACCCTCAGAGTTTCGACATCTCAGACGAGGGATCTTCTCCAAGTCATATTTTCCTACTCGGTGGGAGAAGTTATGTGCTATGCTTGACTTCCGTATCTTTGGCCTTGGATGAATGTATTCGTAACTTGCAGAGTTTAGGTGGTTCCATATCTCTAAGCCATAATCTTAGAAGGCACATAGACGTGGCTCAAAGCGCAGAAGACGCTTGGTTAAATGAGAGATTGAGAATGAGACTTTAGAGTGAAAACTCTTAAGGGGTGCTGACCATGTCTATTCATCTGTACTTTCTGAGATTATTATAAGTTTTCACCTTCCCTCATTCATCTTGTCATTGCCTCAAGTAAGTCAGTCGTGATTCGTCTACATAAGTATTGTTTGAGATTATGTTTTTTGTTGGTCTTGTCACAATTATCAAAATTCCTAAATTGGCAAACTTGATAAGTGCATAACGTATTAAAATTTCATAATTTACTATCCGCATGATCTTTACTATTCTCAATCATAATAAAAAATTCCTAAGACCGGGGATTGGCGAAGACGGTAATTGAAGGGTCTTGCTGGAAGTCAGACTTACAGAACAGGAAGATATATGTATTATTTAATTTAATTATTTATTGCAAAGAAAATCAAAATTTTGCGTGACAGCATGTTGTCTTTCTGATCGTCAAGAGTGGTTTGATTGAAAAAAGTGCAACAGCGCACGTGTATCGAGGGAGAGAGAGAGACAGAGACTTAAGGAGTGCGCAGGCAGAGACAATGTCATGCGCGTCGGCGCTTTCCCCCCCCCCCCCCCCCCCCCCCCCCCCCCCCAAAAAAAAAAAAAACCCCCCCCCCCCCCCCCGCAAACAATCCATTAATCAGACAATCAATCAATCAATCAATCAATCAATCAATCAATCAACCAATCAATCAGTTAATCAATCAATTTAATTAATCAATCAATCAATCAATCTATATATCAATCAATCTATATATCAATCAATCTATCAATCAATCTTTTTGTTTTTCAAAATAGAAATAAAAATGGTAGGGTCTCTGTTACTCCCAATTATAAGGCATGCGCTTCAAGGTCGACGGGTTCTCTGTTGGAAAATGGGGCACACACAATATAGTTGTCAAAGGTATCTCATCTTAAATTTGCGTTGAAACTTTCTAAAAAGGATATTTCAGGCATTCTGACCGTATATTTAATCAATACAGGGGAAGACCGGTACACACGCTAGTAGTTGCTACGATATTTCTCTAAACCAATATTTCTGCAATTTCCTCTAGGGAGGCTTATATAAATATATCACATATATATATATATATATATATAACATAGAATTCGTGAAAACCTAAAAAAAAAAATTGTTAGGTTTGCACGAATTTTTATAAAGATTCTGATAATACATTTTTCAGGCCTCCTACATGAACAATATTCTATGTGAAGTAAATTAACCGCAAAAAATGAATAAAAAAATACTCTTTCAAAACCACAGGAAGTGGTGAGGAGAGAAGCAAGTCTTTTTACAAAAAAATCACTACCTTGCAAAGCACCGTTTATTCAAGAATCAAAATATCCTTTTTTTTTTTAACTCAAATTTATAGTTCTATAAGGTATGAAGCACGATGAAATTATTCGGGGGTTTCCCAAACACGCACATATATGATCCTATTGACGAATACATTATCTTGGATATGTTCGCTCATACATGGACGAATATCTTGTTTTTTAGTATTTTTTATTGAAATATTTTTCCATTTTTTTAATTTAAAATCGTGGTTGGCTAAGAATTTGAAGATATCCCCGACGCAAAAGTTGTTTGAATTCGTCTTTTACATAACATATATTTTTTGACAAGGATTTTACAGTAAACTTAAAAATGGATTATATTAATTTATAGGTTTATAAACTAGTTTTCGCAGAACTTGGTTCTTACCAAACTGCTGAAAACGACTTATAGTTCTAAAAATGAGTATTCACTGAATCTGTTTTTTTTAATCGTCTTTCGAGTTCGTCTTGCAGTCCTTAGAGATTGTGTTGTTTGAGCTATGTTTTTTTTTAATCTACTGAAAACGACTTATAGTCTTATAATATGTTTTTTTATTGGAAATGATTTTCTTGCACATTTTGAGAATCACTAGACTTTTTGCCAATTTTTTTGCCTCCTTTCACGGGAAATTGTTAAAAACGCTCTCTTTCATATGTCCAAAAGTTTGACTTTCACTTTTTCATTCTATAAAAAATGTTAGGTTTTGTGGTTTTGCTAGGTGTTTACGAGGGGAAAAAAAAATTGATCAATTGATTGATTAACGTATTGGTTGAAGATTGATTGATTGATTGAAAAAGAGGGGGAAAAAAATGCGAAAATTAGTGCACGCCCGATGCCCGTCTCTCTCTCTTGCATTTTGTGCGTGCGCGTGCGCGCGCGCGCGCGAGATTGAGAGAGAAGGCTGGGGTCGTGAACTGGTGGTTTAAGCCACCAGTGCTTGGCCCAACTTTTGATGCCGAGCCGGGAAACGCCCTGCGCGCCAAGTTTTGCCGAGCCGCCGCAGCATCGTTTCGATTTTCTTTTGGCTGGCGCCTCCAAGCATTGTGGTCCGGTTGCCCGAAGCCCATGAGTCGCGGAGCGTTAATGGGAAACGCCCGCGGCCAATGTATTGGCCAAGTACTGGTGGTTTAAAGCTGTCTTCTCCTCAGGGGGGGACAACTATATGTATTTTCTCTCTCCTCACAATATCTGAACTGGTGTTCTGCCATGTCATGGAACATATCTTTTTCCTTTCACGACCTTCCACAACTCCTAACGCTATACAGTGGACCCCTACAAGCATAGCTTTCTACCTCTCTTCGGTGAAGGGATGATGTTACCTCTCTCAGTGGAGGGAGGTAACGGCATGTTTGCCCCTTGGAACAAATCTTTTTTCTTTCACGACCTACCAGTACTCCTAAGGCTATACAGCGGACCCCTGCAAGCATAGCTTTCTACCTCTCTTCGGTGAAGGGATGTTACCTCTCTTGGTGGAGTGAGGTAACGACATGTTTGCCCCTTTGCCCTTGGAACATATCTTTCTCCTTTCATAAGTTTCGCGACCTACCACTACTCCTAAGGCTATACAGCAGACCCCTGCAAGCATAGCTTTCTACCTCTCTTCTGTGAAGGGATGTCACCTCTCTCGGTGGAGGGAGGCAACATTTTTGCGCCTTCGCCCTAGCGTTTAGTGTGCAAGGTTGGGGCCAGCAGTGCTGGCCGGGTGAACACAAGGACTGAGCATTGGCCAGTAACTGTGCCTCCCTTTTCATCTTCCCCCACCCCCATGGGTAGAAGTAGTGTATACAGCCAACACTCTCCCACACAGCACATGCAACCCACGCACATGCGCACTCACACCCGTGTTGGCTGAAGACCTCACTAATACTGACTCAGAGGATCCAGCCGACTATCATATTGAGGCCGGGGACCTCACAAATTAACCACCGCAAGCATTACGCAGCTTCCCTTACAGTCGTAAAGACTGCGCAGTCAACATGACTGCTTGTACAATCCTAACAATTCCTTTTCAACAAATCTACACCCTTTTCTTTTCTTTTTCTTTTCTTTTTTGGAAGAAATCACAATTATATTGCATGATGGAATAGAGGCCGGGAATCCTCAACAAAACAACCCTGTAACCTATGCTGGAAACGGGGTCCAGTGTCCCATCTTCTCTGCCCAATTCTTCCAAAAATCCTCGAAGCTCAAAATCCCAAAATCTCGAAATACATAAGTCTACCCTGCTAAAGTTCACAACAAGGCCAATCTCCTACTGTGAAGTCCCTAATGCGGGTTAAGCCATCTGCAACTGACCAATTGCCCACGATTTCCGAAACCAGTTGAAGCCTTTATCCCCAATTCTTCTATCGAATCCGCCTGGTTACAACTCGCCTGCCAGTCCGCCTGGATGAGAGGATGAGATAGATGAGTACTAGCAAGAAAAATGAGATAGATGAGAAAAAAAAAAAAAAAAATGTTCCTCTTGACTTGGCACTGCTGCTCCTGCACTGATATTCTTTAATCTTTGAAAAATAACTGTAACTGAGTTTCTAGCCCTCCATATCTGCTGAAGTAAAACCCCTCTGCAGGCTGATGCCACATATCCCCAGCCTTCTTGCAAAGACGTAGGGGCAATCCCATACATGGACCAGGCGTCCGTCCACGGCCACGAGGGTCCCGTGATGACAAGTTGAGAACGACCTCCTTTTCCCAAACCAAGAGTGGACGCAATAATGGTAGGAGCTGGCTGACTTCTGATAAATCGAAGGCAAAAAACAACACTGCAGAGTCTTCTTGCAGGCGAGTTGTCCAGGCTCGGCCGGCGCGGAGGCAATCAAGGCGGCGTGGCCGGAAAACGAATAAAGATTCCCTCGGGCGGCGCGATTTCCCAACGAAGCAGCTCGCCAGCGACGACGTCGGAAATTCGAGCGCTGTGCGTTTTGCGGAAGCAGAGCTCTGTGCGTTTTGGGAAGCAAGCAAGCAAGCACGCACAGCGAAGCGAAGATGGTGGTCAAGATCGGCATCAATGGGTTCGGCCGCATTGGAAGGTTGGTCCTGAGGGCTTCCCTCAACCACCCTAACGTGCAGGTGGTGGCTGTGAACGACCCTTTCCTTGATCCCGAGTACATCGTCTACCTCTTCAAGTACGACACCGTGCACGGCAAGTACAAGGGCGAGGTCGGTCTGTCCGCCGACAAGAAGCTGGTCGTGGATGGCAAGGAGATCGCCATTTTCGCTCTGAGGGATCCTTCCGCGATTCCGTGGGGAGAGGCAGGTGCGGATTACGTCGTCGAGTCCACGGGTGTGTTCACGGACAAGGACAAGGCGGCTGCCCATCTGAAAGGCGGAGCGAAGAAGGTGGTCATCTCTGCTCCCTCTGGCAACGCGCCTATGTTCGTGATGGGCGTGAACGAGGAGAAGTACACGMCGGATCTGGACGTGATCTCGAACGCGAGYTGCACGACCAACTGCTTGGCGCCTCTTGCCAAGGTCATCAACGACAACTTCGGCATCGTGGAGGGACTGATGACCACCGTGCACGCCGTGACGGCCACGCAGAAGACGGTGGACGGGCCATCTGGCAAGGATTGGAGGGGCGGGCGTGGGGCTGGATTCAACATCATTCCCAGCGGAACGGGCGCCGCCAAAGCTGTGGGCAAAGTCCTTCC